GGGATTTGTCATTTTCATTTATAAATTAATAAAACAGTAAAGATGGAAATATACACTTAAATAATTGTGAGTTTCTGCATTTTAATATCACATTAGGATATATTCTATGTTCAATATTGTGAAAAACATACCAAACACAAATTTTGAATTATTGATTTTATGTGGAGAAAATTTATTTAATTTTTTATCTGGTACTGGATTGTTATGAGCTAAAAATAACTGCCTGGAAATATTTCTTTCAAAACATGAATTTATTTGTATCTCACAGAGCTGATCAATGTCTAAATTCTTTTGAAACCAACAGGAATTCCAGGCTTCTATTAGCAAGCTAAGAAAGTAAGGATAAGGGTCTTTACCAACTAATTGGTTATAGGGATATTTTGGAAACTATTTCCTATCTGTTCCTATTAAAACAACAAGAACAAAAACACCACCCCTTTCTCTTATATTTTGATCTGACTAAACACAACATATATGTTTAGAGGATGAACAATTTTCTGTTTGATATTTTTTTTTACGCTGCGGTATATATAATATATATTCAACCATAGAGATATGCTTTTCCTAAGTAGTTAGTACTTTGGATTTGTTATTTTCCTTTTGTGTGTTTTAGTTTTAAGACATCCCAAAGGAATATGATTTACAATTCATCTCATTAATGCTATTTACTTTGTGGTGAAATTTCCTTTCTGCGGCAGTGAGTGCAGCCACAATATTGGGAGATATTGAAGCTTGTGGAGAAAGGTGAGCTTGTGTGTACTGAAGGACATGAGTGGGGGATGTTCACCAACACTTTCAATTTAAAGGAATGTGAGTCAGGAATACTACATTTCTATGAATTTGATTTCTACTGGGTAATAGGTATAAATTCTCCCTGAATGGGTGAGGAAGAAGGGGGAGTAGAATAAAAAGCCAAGAGTGATGTTAGCAATGAGAGAAGCCGACTGTGGAAGTTGCAGGAAGAACATATTTCTGTGAATGTAATGGCCTAGGTGCAGCCATTGGTTGGCAGTCCATTACGGTTAACAAAGACAAAAAACACTTAATACCAGGGACAGAGTCTTAGTAGTCTTGTAAACAGATTTTTTTGGGGGGTAAGGTCAGGCAATTGGGGCACGTTAAGTGAGAAATACCAAGGTGAGAGGAAAATTGTACTGAAAAACTACATCAGTGTCAGTCAGGTGGTGGGTGGGAAATGTGGCCTCCTGTGTACAGCAAACAGATCCACTCTGACATGCCCACCAGAAGCAGAAAGGCTTCTTCACTCCATTTCCTCCCACAAGAAATGATAAGAAATGCTGAACAGCAGTAATTAAGCCCGAGGAAAGTACACTGTTACACTAAACAGAACTCAACCATGGTAACATAGGAGCTTTTTCTTTAATTCTGTGTGTATTTTCAATCAATAATTTATTAATTTATATTTTACAAAAGCAAAGATAATGATTATTACATTTAATACCCAATACAAATATATTTTGTATATTTTTAATATTTAAGTGATGTGTTTGTGTGTATATTTGTGGAAGGTTGTTCACATGAGTATAGAGTCATGGAAACAAGAAATCTGTGAACTGCCCTACTTGGGTACAAGGAACTGTACTTGGGCCCTCTGCAAGAGCATTACTTATTCTTAACCTTTAAGACATCTCACCTGCTCCCCAATATCTTATATCAATATTAAGTAATAAAAATAAATAATAGATGTCAGTATTTCTGTTTTAGATGTGAGGAAACAAAAATTTAACGACACTAGGTGACTTACCTTACATTATACACACCCATAAGTAGTGTCGGAAACAGCAACACAACCTGTCAATATGATATTCTCTGTACTTAAATTTTGTGACCCAATAAAGCCATGAAACTTATGACAGTCATCTGTGACTTCTTCTAATATCTGTAATTCTAGTTATTTAGCATGTGGCCAACTCCTTAGCATTAAAATGGTTTCACATTATCAGATGTCTTTGACAAGCATTTACGCTGTCACTTTGTCTCTCTTTCTGATCACCTGTTTAGGTATTTAGGTATACTCCATATCTTTGTCTACAGTATTTACTTCTCTGTCCTACATGCACATCTGATCACAGTCATTGCATACCTTAACTAAGCAAAAAAATACATTAATTTTTATTGTCCTACGAAATGTAATGGGTACAAAGCTATTTTCATTTTTCTGCTTCTTCAGATCCCTAACGCCCCCCCCCAATTCAAATTGTTAGCTTATCTTTACAAGATATATATGCTCTGTGTTAAATACAAATTGTTACTATGAGGTCTAATACTTGTTGCTCTGGAATATAAGTCCCTCTCTCCATCTCAAGTTCTTATAGCTTTTTACTTTTGTATTATAGTCATAGGTGGCTTTATTGTACTCATTTATGACTTGTGCTCTTCATTGGGAACACTTACACTAACACCTTTCAATACACATCATGCAAGAAAAAACACACTTACTTGCATGTCCAATTATATCTGTCAGCAGTTCTGATTGTGTAACACACACACAACTTTTTCTGTGATACAGACTATTACACAGCACAGTCTGGCCTTCAGTTGCTGTGTAGCCAAGAATAAGGATGACCTTGAAGTCCCTATTCTTCTGTCTCTATTTCCCAAATGGGATTGAAGACATGCACAATCATGCCTACAAATCTTGTAATACTTGCCATAGGAAGTAAACATACTATTGCTTAATAACCTAATCTACATTTGTAATTGAAGCAACTTACAGCATGATTTTTTTTTTATAATTTTAACTTGATATTTAGAGTTACATCTATTCTGAATTATTATATGATACATAAAGAGGGATATATTACGTATTTTATAATTTTGTAGATTTTAAAAATGTCAATTTGACCCTAATTATTCAGTTTTAAATACAGCGATTCAAATCAAGTGATTAGGAATATTTTGGCTGTGTCTAAAAGTATCTATACATGGTCACAAAAATATACTTTTGTGCAAAACATTCTCTTTGTGAATTATTTGAATATCATGATCTATCTAAGAAAAACTAAAGAAAGCTTAATTCATATATTACATAGCATAAAATGTTAGATTCTCGGCCAAAACCTTGGATTATAATTATTGTTTTCATTATTTTTTAACATTAATTTTTTTTATTTATCAGTTAGGGACCCATGTTAGGGATGCATGAGTGGTATTCAGAGCGCAACTTTCAGGGTTTAGTTTCTTTTTCCACTATGTGAGTCCTGGGGATAAAATTCACATCATTGCTTGGTGTCATTGCTTGGTGGCAAATGGCTTTTCCAGTATTATTTTTTTGTGCAAGGAAACAAATTAAGATGGAGTGAGAGAAATTTTGGCACATATATCTTAATAGTTGCATAAGGGAATTACTGTAATATATATTATAATTCCTTGATATTTAAGTGTGCTTTTTTTAACTTAAGGAAAATGCAATCACTGGTCCAAACTGAGTCCTGATCCACAGGCCTAAGACATATTAACAGTTTATATCTTTCTGCTTCCCATAAAAAGCCAATTGGTATCTTAAACATTACAAAGAAACAATAAATATTAAAAAATTAACTTGAACTATGTAGGTATTCATTCACTTTTTTTTCAAAATTTTAACCCATTCATGTGAAAAAAACCACCAATATAAAACATCTAATTTTTTTTGATCTTTCAAACAAAAAAATCCTGATTTCTCAGCAACTGTTTCAGTAAACTATGCTACATTTTATGAGGAATATACAGTTAAGATTAGTGAGATGGAAGAAAAATATATAGCGGTATAGTTCACTTACTGATCTATCCTATTCAGAACTCTCTTTTACCAGTACTGAGTGCCACACTGAGGAATTTGGGACATCTTAACACTTTGAAAAGCCTATCCCCTGGGAATAAGGTCTAAGCAAAGTGAGCATCAGGCCATGTTCTCTTAACACGCCCTTTAGGTCACAGAGTTTTCAAAGGAATGTTTCCAATCCAAGTATTTAGACAAAAAAATTAAAAAAGTTAAAAAAAAACTCCATCTGGCTGCCAAATGCCACCAATACATACACCATAAACTGTTCATCATTTGCCTAATAGCATCTCAAATTGAGATCTACTCATGCTCATATGTAACAGAAAGGACATTTTCCAAAAAAAAATAATAACAGTTCTATGAAGATAACCAAGAAATTGAATTTAAACTGACTGTAATTGAAGCCATGAGATCAAAGAATTTCATGTTGCAATTTGTAATGCTAAGTATGGGGAAAGATACTTAAGTATGGATGTAGACATAATTGATAAGGTATAGATATAATTGACAAGGTATCACATAACTGTCTACTGGAGAATCAACTGTAATGTTTTGAGAAAGGAGCAGATTGTTTCTTCTATGGCATAGACACTGGTAAGTTGAGGATATTCCTGTAAATAACTCTACAACTTATCACCCATAATCTTATAAATAACCCTGATGAAACTTAGTGGATCACAGAAATGAAACAAAACAAAAAAACACAGCAAAGAAAAATCATGAAAGCTGATGATGGGGGACTAGCTAGGGAGGCAAAAGATATCAGTGGAAGTAGGAGGAAGGAATTTCTTGAGAATATTAGGTATGGCTTTGAATATGGTCAAGATTAATTATATACATGTATGAAATTGTCATAATGAGACTCATCATGTCCAGTTATTATATACTGACGAAAACCTTTCAATATCAACTTGTGGAAGAACCATATCACTTCAGTTTTTAGTGGGTCATCTTGTTCTAATTGGGGTAATAAGAGCTTAGCAGCACGTTCCAATAGTGGTAAACCAGGCCTCTAAGATTTAAGACAAGAGCACCACTCCTTAACCTATGGCTTTACTATTTCACCTGACACAGTAGTTAATGACAGAAACATCATAAGCTCTTTCAAAAAGGAACAATTTCTGCTTTTATCACTAAATAAAAAGGTAGCAGCTCTTCATCCAACCACAGAAATTGACAGTAGCCATTTGAAACTTTGAAAGGCCAAATGCCTTACCTTGCCTACATAGAGGGGTTCTGAACCCATGTATTCTTCCAGCACGAAGAACTGATTCCACACCCAACTGCGCTTGGTTCGGGATCTTCCTGACTGAAAATACGGCTTGGATCTGGACCTTGGCAGCTCAGCTTGACTTGTCCCAGAGAAGCACAAGAAGAGAGCTATAAGCTGTAGAAAATGGCACAACTCTACTTTGCCCAGCTTCATCTTTTTTTTTCTTCCTTTTCCCTGTATAAGAAAAAAACCTTGACAAGAGGATAGGCACAGTTCTAGCTGGCTTGGTGGCTTGTGGCTCCGGCAGTGTGTCAGCTGGGAGTCCAGAGATAATAATTTGTAGAGTGCTGCACTGGAAGAGGTCACCAGTGCTGAGCAGCCCTTGCCAAGGAATGGTGTAATAGGTACCTAGAACAAAGACAAGAGCTGGTGTCAGAAACGAGAACATGCAATTGGGCTAAGAGTTCAGTCGTGAGCAATACTGAATTTCCAAAAATAGTGTTTGGATAATCATTAAAATATTAATATGTACACTTAGAAAATTACAATAATAGTAGACACATTTATAAATTACATAATTACTGCCATTTGCAGAATTATCTTTTTTTCTACAGCGCAATTTCCAAGTTTCTTCTAGGGCATAGCATTTAATCATATGATTTCCTCTACACAAATGTAGAACATTATTTTAAAACATTATTTTAAAGTTAGCCTCTTTATAGATCTTAATGTCAGTTGCAGTCATTGGTATTAGGATGTGAAAACTAAATATCTCAAAGCAGGGATTTAAGCAACTGGGAAGGATATATGCTGGTTTAAATCTCTTCAGTGAAACTGTAAAGAAAAATAAAGTACATAGTGATTCACAACTGACTGATTGATTCTGAGTCACAGAACACCAGCTGTTTTGAAGTGTTCTGATTTGATTGTGATCATCCAAAAAGCGGAGTGGCTTCCATTTTCTACCCTTCAAACTTATTGTCATGTTCACTGTGCAGCATGGTCGCTGTGCTAGTTCACCTAGTCATTTGTTATTCCACGAATCTTTATTAAATGCTTTATAACACGACTTCTGCGTAGTGGCCTTCCTCCATAAGCAGTTACAGAAGTGACCCATAAAGCGCCATAGGTAGGCAAGGAAACAACTGTATTTGCTGAATCTTATTGATTTTTGGCTTGCAACCAGGTGGTGCTTCAGGGACAGCATAAGAAAAAATCCTTTCTCTGGTGTCGACTTACTGCAGGCACAGAATCCTGATTATGCAAGAGATATAAAATCAGTTACAAAACAAACTTCCTTCTACACCCCCAAAACACAGAGGAATAAGAATTTACTACAAGATTCTCACTTAAATCACTATGTTACACTCTGTGAATTCATTTTACAATAGGATAAATATAGAGGCTCTCCCCACCCCCCCTCTCTCTCTATCTCTCTGGGTGTGTGGTGTGTGTGTGTATGTGTGTGTGTGTGTGTGTGTGTGTGTGTGTGTGTGTGTGTGTGTGTGTGTGTGTGTGAGTGAGTGTTTTGAGAGCAGATAAAATATCAATAACATAAAGCCAAACGTTCCCTACCTATTAAAACAGAAAAAGTATTATCCTTAGAAGTTCTTATATCTTTCATATTTTTACTATCTACTCTGAAAAAAAACGTGTACCAATCAATAGATAAGTTCTTTAGACAGTTAAAAATTTAAGAAAATAGCACGTAAATAGAAGAAAAATGAACATAGAATTATCTAAATTTCTTGAGAATGTAAACCAGTTTACAACTGGAAGAAGAAACAAATCCAACTGACCTTTAGTTCTGTAAAAACTATCATATAACTTTAAAAAACTATCTGTATAACATTTTGGTATTCCATAGAGGATTTCAGTAAGATCCAACATTCAGAAAATAATATACTCTTCTAACCACCAGAATGAGGGACTTCCATTAAACTATAGGAACTATAGCCTGCGGTGAATTCAAGGTCCCCAAATCCAGTGACCAAAGGCAAAGTGAAACAGATACCAGGAGGGGACAGAGAGGATGGGCGAATTAAGCTACAAAAATACAAAGGGATAGGAAGCTAATGTGCAACAGAGTAGATTAAAACTGCTCTGTGATCTATTATGTGTTTCAAGCACAGCAGCTTAGCAGGGAGAGTCAAGCAAGACCAAGGGTGCAGTGAGTGTGGGTAAGGAGGGGGAAAGCAGTCTGCATTTCCTGCATCTAACAACAGAGTGGAAAAAGATGCTGTGGTCAAAGTAGTCAGATAGCACACAGCAAGGAGGAGCTACAGTTTCGCAGCTCTCATTTCTTCAGAGAAAGTACTTTTTTAAAATTAAAACTGGATTTTTCCTTAGGACAAAAAATAAATAAATACAAGGCAAGCAAATTATATTACATAGGTTATGGAATGCCTGAGAGGACTTCGTGCCATTGTTTCAGCATGAAAACATATCAAATTTTTAAAATGAATAAACATTAACAGCAAATTATTTTTGGAATTCAAAACTTGGGGGGTTAGTCCAAATACATGTTGGAAAAGAATATGGGTGTTTCCATCTGATACATCAATATTAAACTTAACAATGCATAATTAAGTTTATGAATCTAAAATCCATGATGTTTGATAACAAAAAATTAGAAGAAACTAAGTAAACTTCAAGATAAGGTCTCAAGCACCTTAACCTACCTGATGAAAGTGATTGCAGTGACAGCAGCATTAGCAATAGTATCTTGGTAGAAATAGGCAAGAAATTATAAAATGCCAAGAATAGTTCTTGGAATATGTAAAGGCCATTAAAAATAGCTGTTATAGTTATTATTATCATAATAATTTTCTGTGTTTGAAACATTATAAGAAAATTGTAGGTTGTTAGTGAACTAATGTTACTTTTCATTTCAATATTACCAATAGTAAAATCATTTAGATACTTGTTACCCTAAAAGAAAACATTCTAAAAAGGGAGATTTGATGCGATGGAACTACACACTCATGAATCAAAAATAGTCACATGGATGGGAGGCTCCAAAATGCTTGTTGATGGAAATTTTTAACTATTTTCAAAAGACGTTTTGGTAAACAAAACACTGGATTAAAACAGAACTTAATTTAAGTTAATCAAGGATATCCACTTACGTTGGAGAAAGAGACCATAATACTAATGGGGTCAGATGACTAGGGTTTTGATATACAAACTTAGGTCCCTCTGTAATTTCATTTTCTGTATGTAAAAAAATTAAAAGCCTAGAGTAAATATCACTACAAAGTCCGAGGTATTTTCCCAAGTCCTACTTTTAGGATTTTAATAATTGCTTAGGAGTAATATTGCCAGCTGTAAAAATGTGATGAAGAGCCTATTGTTAATAATTAAAGATGAAGAATTTGAGAAGTTTAAAATGGAATCAGATTGTAATAGAAGCACTTGGTCTTCTGAAGCACAGTGTGCTGTGTAACAAACCTTGTTCAATTTATTTTTATTGTCTCTTGAAGATTATTTCTCATCTATACAAAAACGTCGGAGGTTGGTCAAAGCAACTAGAACACAAAGACAAGTCTAATCACTGAACACATCATGACTCTTGAGAAAATATAAAGAAAGGAAGATACCTGAGAATTGTATGCTCTCTTGTTTAATAAAGGATTTTAAAAGTAGCTGAAATGAGAGCTAACCTTGATGCACAGGTATGTACACATTGTCATTATAGCTGTGGAATCTAGAACAGGGTAGAAATTCAGAAACATCTTCAGAGAATGTCTGTATTTATTCTAATCTATTTAATCTGCAGTGTGGAAAAGTAACCACATAACAAGTCAATATATGAATTCTTTGGCAATTCTAGAATGTTAATGAATATCAATCATTTTGTAAACAATTGTAATGTATTTTGCTCTAGCATTTGAATTATTTGTTATACTCTTAACCAATCATCTTTATTTTTCTTTTAGCCTGAATTATTACACCAGAATAATTTCATTGGTTTTGTGTACAAGATAGTATAGGGGATTTCTGTTATGCGATGCAGATAGACGTCACTGTAATACTCTTTATAGAATTATTTTAAAAACCAGAAAATAGTATTTATATAACTGTGATCTGAACTTAGTGTGCTTGTGTCATATTCACCAATATGTCTTTCAAGGTCAACATTCTCTAAATCTTTGCTTCCTTTGCAGACCAATGTGATTCTCAAGATAAAATGACTATATAGCATTTCAGCAAACTCACTGTGCTCTGAGTTGGTATATTATGTAAGAAAAAAAGAACTCCAACTTTTATTTCAATAAAGATAAACAAAAATATAACAACAACCCTGGAGTTATTTCTGTATATATCAAACAAAAATAACTAAAATTTGAAATTTCATCATGCATTGTGCAACTTCTCCAGATAGTTTTCCTTTGTTCTCATGATATGTGTAATGGTGTCATAGTACTGCTTATGCATGTGAATGATTTTAAGCACTGAACAAAGCACATTTGTCAATATTTCATAATAAACTCAATATTATCTCCTAAATCTGTGTCCTAAAGCAAGAATGCTACTTCACTGTTTTTCCTGCTGCCTTCCCACATATCTGAGTTTTACACGCACATGTTAACACAGAACTTATGTCAGAAATAAGCAGAGACAGCAGTGTCCATACTCTAAGCTGGGTATCCTGTCCTCGTGGAAAAACTAAGTTAGGTGGTCAACTCTCTGGGGTTTTGAACAACTGATCTCTTTTCTACTGATGGCTCAGAAAATGTATAAACAAACGTACTGATATAAAATGGAGATAATTTCTACAAATTGTGATCACTTTTGGGATGATGACAGATTTGGAGCACTGCAACTGAGAAAAAAAGTAATTCCTTATATCTGAGAAGAGGACTAAAAGCGGGTCAGAGAAAACTGTTTACGAGGGGACTGCACTAGCTGGAAATGTGAAAGCAAAATATTGAAAGAGATTTTAAAATACTTTTGTTTGTTATTTATACTTTAAAGGAAAGATTTATATTTTATTTATAATAATTTTTTCTGAAGTTGCTTATATAAATTTCACTACAAGTATTACTATAATAAGTGTAATATACTTACTAATCAATCAGATTAAATATCAGTGCCTTGGAAAGGAAATGTTAAATGTATTGAAGCACAGAGAAAAAGGGAAACGCTGAGCATCAATCAATCTGACAGTACTTACCTAACCAACACCAGTTATTTGAACTAAAATAACTGCATTAGCAACCACTTTGTTCCATATATTAGCTTCACCAGAGTTGCAAAGAATTATTTCCGAGTAGATTGTTTATTATATATTTAGGCTTACTAGAGAATATTATTTTATCAAGATGAGTTCATTGTTATAAATTTTTGACTATTTTCATTTCTTGTAATTTCTGTCAAACCACTTTTAAAATCTAAACAAGTATCTG